TTTGTAACCTCCGCCCTAGGCTATTTCCTGTTTTTCTCTGTCCCTTTTCTCTCCCCGTCACTTCTCTTAACCATCACTCCTTTTTCCTCCAGCCACACCCCTCAATCTCTGGTCTTGGGAGAATTGAAAGCGAGAGGAGAGCTCTGCTCTCTCTGCCTCCAACAACACCTTCGTCCTCTCATTTTCTCTGATATGATATGAGTGATTCAGCTGGGAGAGAGAGGCTCGCTGTAGACTACGCCGTCCCTCTCCTCCTCCTCCTCTCCTGTGAGCCTCCACTTACTCTCGCGGCTCTTGCATCTCTGGAAAATCTGAATCTGTCGTTTATTGTTCCTCCTCTCGCAAAACTTGTTTTTCTTTGCTCATAAAACCTCCCAGACAGTCCTTATAAATGCTTAACGAGGTCAGTTTCATATTGTACTTTCCAGCAGCCTCCATCTGTTCGGTTTCCTCTTGTATTTGTGAGGTTATAATGGTGGTACAATAAAAAAAAAAGGGGGGGGTTGGTTCCTCTGAGGTCGAAGGAGTAAGATGTACTCTTCCCTTGTTTAATGGTCTTATGTAATAGAACGACTGACTCATGATGTTAGTGAGATCTGAGCAAGCTGGTCACTTGTATATTTACAAGTCAAAGCACCAGGACGACTTCCTCTTTCAGTTTGATTCCACTATTTCTCGCCCTCTTCTGGTTTGTTTCCACCTGTATCCATCTCTCTCTCTGTAAGTAGTTTTTGCAGTTCACAGTGTAAAGCCTTCCTTCCCTCCCTCTGCACCCCTGCCATGCTCGTCCCATGGCTTCAGGGTTTCCCTATGTGTATTTATTGTGTATTTATAGGCTATGAGCCCTGTTTTCTATCTGCTTATCAACAGCCACCGTGTACCCCACCCACCAATTTACCAGACACAGCCCTGAGATTTGAGGACACCACAGGCCCCGGCAGCAGTCAGTCAGGCCTTGATCCCCGTCCTCCCCGGTCTTTCGTTCGCTGCTTTTTTACAAATGTTTTCCAAAATCCCTTGATTTGTGCTCCGCTGATTTATGTTTTTTTTCTCACCACACAATTTTTTATTACTTCTTGTCTCTCTGCCAACTCACTTTTCTGGCTTTTCTCTCTGTTTTTCATTCTCTCGGTGCTCTCTTCTGCTGTTTCTCAGAGCAACTCTCCGGCTCTGAATCCCTTGCTGCCCCTCACTGTGTTTTTTTTTTTCTTTTCCCCCCTCCCAGAAACAACAGACGAATACACATTTAAACGCTCGTTCTTGTCAAGTGTGTATTACTTTGGCTATGAGGTGTGAGCTGTGATCCGCAGAGATTTGCGTGCCATAAATCAGACGCGCCCGTCGCCTACCATGTTGCGTCGTTGCCAAATCGCATCCGTGCGCATTTTTTAACACAACCCCTGCGTTTCTGCGTTTGCAATAACATATCAGTCAAAACACGGGGAACACACAGAAGCACACAAGTTGGATCCTGCTACAGTGGCATGCCACCGCCTTCTTAGCCACGCGGCAAACAGTATAATTAGACTAATTGTCTCAGCAATAAATTTCAATCCAGACATGAAAGAATTTGGAGGGGGTTGCATTACTAATTACTCACATAGTTTTGCAGCCCGTGTTCAGAGCACCGGGACAAAGACTTAGGTTTAATGCCGGGGACTGGCGCAGCGGTGGATGGTGGGTAATTTTAAGCTAGAATTGATTAAAGCAACTCACAAGTTGAGGCAGAGTTAAATTAAATTGTGCACAGCAGGCACAAGATAAAAAAAAAAAACTGGTTGTTTGTAGTGAATGACTTGGAAACAGAAAGAGGGAAAGAGAGATAGAGGCAACTTGGGTGGCAGCTGGGATAAATGGTTTGTCTTGGATTCAGCTCCACTCTGTCATCATTGTCAGGCGCTCGGAATGAGGCGAGGCACTACAGGTGAATAGAGAAAAAAACCCGTCATCACACTCTGACATTAATGTTAAATATAGATGCCAGAAGCCAGCACTTAGGTCCAGACGTTGAATTTTGCATGGATTTAAAATGTTTAAAAGAAAAAGAGCAGTTGTTGAGATGAATGCACGCTCCATTCAGTGTAGACTTGTTGTTTAGTGTCCGTTCTGTGGTGGAGTTGTGAGAGAGGGTGCGAGCGCTGCCCCCTGCATCATCAGCTGCTTCCACTAATCTCTACAAACAGATACCTGCAGATAGCCGATGGCAGCGGCAGCACTGCAGCAGGTGGCTTGTGTGTGAACTGTCAGGCAGGATCCCGTTTGGTCACACAAAGCAGTGATTGTTATGGCATTATCTGGAAGAAACTTTCAAAACAGTAATCCGGTGCGGCGTCTGGAGTTAAGTGTATGAAAGAAATCATGCAAACTGTGGCCATGATGAAGGCTGTTTCTTTGATATTAAGCTTCGGTTTGGGGCTGGATGATGTAGTTAAAAATTATCGTGGTAGAATGTTTCATATTGCAATTTTTTTAATGACCTATTTTTAATAAAGGAGAAAAAAGAATGTTACCAATTTGGCCTGTTTATCAAGGTTATCATCATTAATGTGACCACAACTATAAAAAACAAACACAAAACATATATTTGCACACATAAATAAAATGAATAGGGATAAAGGCAGCAACTCACCTTGATACACGTTAAATAAAGAAAGCAAGTAAAAGCAGCAGACAGCACTAAGCTGCTGCAACCTGCCCACAGTTCCCAGTGATTAGCCTGAACCTGAACCAGGACTCTGCAGGGGCCTAAGCATGCATGTCAATGTCAAGTTTGTTAATGCAGGTGTTGTTTTTCACTACATAGATTTCCTACTAAGAAGCCTGTTACGAGGGCAATCACCAGTCACCGTAGCCTTCACCAGGGATGTGCACAAGTGTGATAAGAGGCCCAAGTGGTCACAGACTAGCACACCTCGTAGCATCAAAATTAGCAGACGTAAAAGTGGTATCAATCCTCTCATTTAAGTCCTGCTTGTGAGTGAAGAATAATTTTCTTTAATCAAATTTCACCTGTGTTACTTTTATAGTAAGGACATTTTATGAGATATTTCACAAATCTGCCAACTAAATCGTCACCAAACAATTTCTTCACCAATATGATTCTTGGATCCGTCGGACGTCATAAGAGCCATTTGATCTTGTTAAGAAGAATCGCTCTCTGAAAGACAGAAGGGCTACCTGCTCTTCTGTCACGCCTTCACTGGGTGTGATACGGTTTCTGCAATTGCTGGCCATGAGAAAACAATAAACTCTGTTGAACAGGTGATAATGACAACACTGCTATTACGTCGACAAATAATAATAATTGTCATCATCATTATTATTGTCATCATCATAAAAATACTAAAAACAGTAATAGTTGTATTTATGTTTCACATTATACTGGCTGGTACTGTGATTTTTCAACAGTCATTTATCGATAACCTAACTTGAGCAGGTTTTTTCAGGGTTTCCCACAGGAGTTGAATTTCAACATGTTATTACACACCTTTACAAACATATTTGTTTGGTAACGATTTAGTTGGCAGGTATTCATATGTTTCCCTTGCTATTTATTTATCGTACAGAAGCTGCCCAAGAAGAGGCTTAATGCGCTCCGATCACTCAGCAATGATGCTAAAACCTGACGACCACATCAAGAACCAGTCAGCCATGGACTTCAGTTTATGGGGATTAAAAGATAGACCCTTTTGTCTCTAAATTTGCACTCTTAACAAATCACTAGTCTTACCGCAACCAGCATCTCAGATTTTTTTTTTTCTTTCTTTCAAGTCCAAAACCACAGGAAATGAGGAAAATCCATTAGCTGGGTGGTTTTAGTCGTTTTCTCCCCCCTCCCAACTCCAGTCCAGTGGAAGCATAGTCGTGCCCTGTGGGCCTGCATGACAAGGGCAGAGGAAATGGCCATGCATTAATGGCAGCTTTGATTACTCTCCTGTCACTAATGTAGCCAACATGAAAGACAAGAAGAGAAGAAGGGATGACTTCAGCCCCAATCAGAGGCAATCTGATGGCATCTACATGTAGCCCGGCCATACTTATGGTGCCATTTGGAGCACATGCGAAGACTCTGGGGGGCACAAGATACAATATTCAGTCACCACATACCTCAAGGCTCACACCTCACATGCACGTTTCCAGATAATGACTGAAGAGGTTTGTGGTCAGAAACTGGGGAGGTTACAGGATTTCTGTTCATATCTCTGTCCTGCTTCAGCCCTATATGCTTGGAAGAGTCCTAACATCATTTTGATGTTGGGATGTGCATTTTCCCTTATGATTTTCTACTAAATATGAAAACATTTTGTCAAACAAGTGAGAAAATAATTGTCACTTGCTACTCTACAGAAAATACAACAGCAAAAACAGCCATTACCACTTGCATTTGAATTTATTTTTGTCATTTTGTTGCTTCCGTTTGCGATGCAATTTATCAAATCAACTAACGTGGTGCTCTGATGGCTCTGCCCGCTGAGATCTCAACCAATGAGATTAGCTCTGCCTTCACCAAGGCTCTGGCTCCTTGAAATGTTTGGATAACTACATTTCCAATTTGCCATATGCATATCCCCAAGGGCTTTGGTGTGTCATATAAAACCTCATCTTGTGCACAAAGTGCAGACATGTTGTTATCCATCTAGCTCACAATTGGTGCTCATGGAGCCATTTGTGTGTCAATGTGAGTAATGTAGGAGCAGCTTGCAGCTTGTACCGGCCCTGCCTGCACGAAGGCATACATAAGGATACATACACTGCCAGACCGCAGCGCTGAAGGATTCATTTTAAAGGGAATGACTACATTTGAATTCAAACGGTTTCAGTCATCTCCTCCCATTTGGGAAAAGCAGCATATTTTGAAATTGTACTAGACTTAATTTTTATGTGAGAATATACCCATCTTATCAGTCACAAATTACGGCTGCAACTGAGAAGAGCACGCTGTCCCCTCTAATTGACATGGTGTAATTTGCCTTATTTGCCCAAATTATTGATGCTTGCAGGAACTCTTCTCAGCGCACACCACTGATGAATGGAAGCTCAAGAGCAAATCACAAGGCTGTCTTCTAAATAGCAGCAAGCAGGCACTTTGTAGAGAGGAAGGTGGACTCAGCAAAGATGTCGGAACCTGCTGTGAAGAGAATTTTGAGTCTAATTTTCATGCCGGCAGTCATTTCTGTGAGGGGGCAGTGTTCGTGAATTCTCATTTTGCAAAAGAAATAAGACGATAATAAGGCATTAGGGATTTTTTTTTTTTTTTTCGCCCATTTTGCACCTATAGACTTTTCTTAATTAGAATTTTTAATGACAGTATTTCATTACGCATTTCTTGGATCAAAACACAGGAAAAAATACAATCTTTAGGCACTATAAATTCAGTAAATGCATTCTAAATGGCTGCCTGCACTTTATTACAAAGTTAATAACATGAGACAGGACCCAAGTGCATTATAAACTATTAAAGCACATTGTGTCACGCTGCTGGTCTGATTGACTCCAGTGTGAGGTCCTCTGCTGTGCACCAGTGTCGATCAGCCATGTCCAGCTGTTTCCAGATAGTCAGACGGCTCTGGCCTTGGCCTGCACACACACTTCACTAGCTGTGTGTGTGTCTGTGGAAGACAGCAGGTAGTCCGTGTGTCTGTACGCGACTTGAAATTTTACTTTTCCACCTGCTCGCTCAGCATCAAACCTCACTGGAAATAGCACTGCCTGCAGTTTACATCTCCCCCCCTCCTCTCTCTTTCTCCATGTTGCCTGCAACCCAATCACAGATGTGGATGTGACTCCTCCGGGTGCTTTTACTCCGTTGCCTGAGAGTTCATTCAGTGTCAACCATGTTTCTTATTGAGCGGAGCCTGCACAATGACTAGAACATATGTCTATTAGAACGTTGCCTCCTTTTGGAAATGAATCTGGCTCTCAACAGAAACATCTCCTCCATTCTTCTTCTCCTTTCATTCCTTCCTCATAATTCTATTAGTGCGTCCTATTCAGGAACGGCCCGATAAGTCCTCGGCACAATGAGCGGCACGACGGAGAGCTTCTTCGGGGGTTTGGATCGCGCCGGTCTGTGTGATGTTTCGTAGAGCCTCTGCTTTGTTCTCGGTGGTGTAGCCTCTAGCAGCAACGACTGCTGGCGCTGTAAGCTCCAGTCTATCGGCTCTGAGAGGCGCTTGATGAGCTTAGGGAAGAGCCCGTGTCTTTTGCCGGAGCTTTCTGATGCCGCAAATGGCGCGATATAACATCTTGTGTGTCACTTAAATGTGCATGCATACCCATAAATGAGCAAACGTAGCGACATGTATGCAAATGCAAAAAAAAGCACTTGTATACATTTGCACACACTCCGTGACACACTTATTCACACTGGCTCGCCTCTGCCGCCTCAGGGAATGTGCGCTTTGTGCGTGTTTGTGCTTTTATGTGTGTGTTAAACCGTGCAACTCTCTCAAAGGAAGATTAATATTGGCCGTGCACGTCCACAGTGTGCGCCATTAAGCTGTGTCAAACACAGAGCCATAATCTGGAATGAACGGTCACTGGTACACCGACTTGGTCATCATTAATGTTCCATCTAGGTTGAGAACAGTCACCCAAGTGTGTGTGTGTGTGCAGTTGTAGAGTTGTACAGTCCACAATCTTCTCTCTTGTGGTTCTCCTCTATGGTGCAAAGCAGATGTGCTCCTTTATGAACAGCAAGAGACAGAAACAAAAAGAGACAGGTGTATTGAGGGTTTGCTAGAGGAATTGAATGCCGGAGGGGAAAGAGAAGGTGGAAACAGGCTCAGCGCAAAGAGGGATGTCATGACAGCACAAGCCAATGCTCATGTTGATCCGACACGCAGCTTCAGTGAAGCCACATAGCATCATTAAACCATCACTGTGTGTCTTGTTGCAGGCACGGATTATAAAAAATGCATTTTAAAGAACACACTCTCTCTGTCTGGCTTCCTGTCTCCTCTCATGAGTGTTGCTGTTGTGCAGCCTCTTGTGTTTCATCTCTTCCACATCCTCTCCAAGTATTCATCCTCCTTGTTTTTTTTTTCCCTCTCACCTACCTCCCTCCCGCATCGGGTCCATCAGGATGTAACGCCGGGCCTTCTTGGTAATACCTTCTAATAAATCCATCGCACGCTGCGAGAGCAAAAGGGCGGATGAGGGGATCGAGGGGAGGAAGAAGGGGAAACTGCGACGAGGAAGAAGGGGGCGGGCATGAATAATGAAAAGCGCCACAGAACTCACGCTGTCCCATCAGGCCCGGCGACACCCCGGCTTCCTCCTGCGCGTGTTTTGGTTACAGGCAGATGTGAAGACTGCGCGCGCGAAAGGCTAGAGAGGGAGATGGAGCGGGAGACGAATGGGCCGAGAAGCGAGCGGATAGATGTGCGCTACGTGCCTCGAGTGCTAAAGGCAGAAGCCAAGGAGAGCAGAGGAGCCGATAATTAGCAGTAATTGTTGTTCAAGGGGGGAAAAAGGCAATTGGTTTGGGGTTCATCTCAGGCGCTTCTCTGTTTGTGTCAGAGTTTCTCCTGTTTGTTGCTTCATCACAGAGAATATTTGAGTTTCTTAGAGATGCAACAAACTATTGATCTACTGATTAATTATAAAAGTTAAACATGAAAAAGCAGTTACACATGTTCCTCGAGCCAAAGTCGGTGCTGCATTACTCGTTTTTCTATATTGCAAGACAAAGACAAATCCTCATGTTATTAATTAATGTAATAAACATGCACAGTTTTGCACGACCACCGTGATGTACTGAAGATTTGAATATGCATCTTAGCTCAGATAGTCAAAGCAGCCGTAGAAACCACACAGGAAATTGTGTTACCAGACAATCTGAGTGTACCGCACAGACCTGTGGACCCGACGCATGTGCACTGTAAATACAGAGCTGTAAAAAGCAGGCTTTCCTCTGCACACTTGACTGCCGGGGACGAGGTGGAGGGAGGGAGGGGGTGTTGAAATGCAGACATAAAGCGAGCAAAAGTGCGGCCATGACAGAGCTGTAAAGGAGCAGTCCAGGATGCAGTTACACACAGACTGAGGCCGTAAGCTTTTGTTGCTGCACACTAGCAATGGAGAAAATTGCAGTGGAGTGTTGAGCAGAGAAGGCCAAATTGAAGAAACCGACTCCTCTCTCTCTCTCTCTCTCTCTTTTTTTTTTTTACACTTCTCCCATAATGACGCTCCCTCTGCAGTTATTCATAAATGTGTTTGTCAGTGTTGATCACCCTGGCAGGATCTCGAAAGTATTTTTATGAGGACGGATACGCCTGCTATGAGCAACCTTTAACCCCGCATCGTCAACCTGCATCTCATTACAGCAGACAATAGCAATCGCTTTCCTAACCCTACCTACTGAGCCGCGCAGTTACATGGATGAACTGCTCAATTCCAATTACACTGCGGTGATTGCATCGCTGTCACAAAAGCCTACAAAAGGCTGCTCAATGGTACGCGGCTGCACGCGCTCGCGCGCACGACGCCGAGCCACAGTTTGCTGGCTATTGTTGACGCAAGGAGAATTCAGAGAGGCTGCATCAATCTTGTCATCAAAAATCAACATGCTTGTTAGTCTGTGTCTGTGTGTTTTGCGTGTGCATGCATGGGCTCGGGCTGCGTGTGTGGCTGCTGTTGTGTGCGTGTGTGCGATTCACCTTTTGGTCTGAGCGAGGTTTTACTGGACTGTGGGTCGATAGATCAATGCTGAGTGGAAGGCACACACTCAGCAGAGCCAGAATAGCTCTGGAAAGGCCACGGCAATCAGTCTTAGCCAAGCCTGTCCCCTAATCATCCAGTGGAGATTTTTATTCTGAATGGAGGCTATTTTTACAAACTGGCACTTGAAGCACTTCAAATAAAGTCAAATATGCAGCAATTACACATGCGGATAATTCAATGTGATTCTCCATCGATCTGTCAGTGTTTGATGCTCCTTTTTTGCAAAAAAGTAGAACATGTGACATTACAGCAGACTTTTAAGTTAATCCAACAGAGGCACAGAGCTGGAGATATAATTTCAATGCTTGAGTTTAACCTAAATGTGCAGAGCCAAAACCACAGATTGCTAGCTGGCGAGCTTGAATGGCAAATAAATAACCCTGATCAAAAATGGCTCGCATTAATGTAGGGAGTGGGGTTTCATAATAATGATACGGTAGCTACTTTCTGTCCTCCACAATTCAGCTAATCAAAGTGTTTTCTGCCGCAGAGCAAAGCTAGTTTAACCAGAGCTCTGTATCACAGAAAAGTCTTAATATACTTCCCCTTTCAGTTGCAATAAAAATTAGTTACCTGTAATTGTTATTGCAGCTGTTGCAGTGTAATTTCATTTAGGAACATTCAGGACATTTTGTTTGGTGGTTTTTGTTACAAATTGCACATTAAGTTAACACAGTTTCATTTCAGTTCAATTGTAGGCTCGTGTGCTGAGTCTTTAGCGGTACAGTCTCCCTCCGTGGTCCTTCACATACACATTTTTGAAGCACTGGGTATCCCTTGGTGTGATTTTCGAATGTGCAGGGCAGTCTGATGGGTTTCTACAGAGTTCCCTCAACATCTTAAATAGATGTCATTAGGCTGGAACAAAATGTTCTCTGCTGGTGTTGTCACCGTCTCTCCTTTTGAGGCAAACTAATCATCATTTAGATGCAATGGAGCTCGTCATCGAGGTAGATCATGGAGGAGGAAGTTGTCCGAGAAGGTTGAGACAGTTTGCCTCCCAACATGCATTTAATCATTAACCTTGATTTATTCCTAACCAAGTACCATCTATCCAAAAAAGTAGTTTTGTAGTTTATGATCATCTACAACTGCTTTTGTCTGGATCAAATAGTCATAACATGCAAATATACTGTATGGTACGAAAGTCGTCAGGAATTTTGTACATGATCTATTTAAAACCATGAGCTACAGAACACACCCCCACTGTAGAGATAAGTCATATTTATTTAGTGATTACTGCACAGGCTCTTCTTTACAAAGGTTGTCTGGCACTTGTTGAAGTTG